TCTCAGCAGGAGTTGATGCTCATGAACTCGCGGCTGCAGGTAAAGCTGCGGGGGGGCTGCGAGCCTCCCGCCCCCTGAGGAGGGTGCAAAAAAGGTTGCTGTTTCCAAGTGCCCGGTTGCAACGAGAAAAGGAGAAAAAAAAAAAAAAAAAAAGCCCCCCTGCTCTGCTTACAAAATCTGACAATTCTGAGGTGTTTGACTTGCACATAAACTTCGGGTGGAGAAAGCTGCTACCATCTAAATCCAGTAACTTCCTTGTGAGTTTGCATTAATGGGTTAGGGGGGTATAAAGTACTTTATGCTGGCCAGCCCTCAGAAGAGTAGTCCCGTAAACTTACGGTGACCTATTCCCTGAAGCGCCGCTAGGGAACACTCAAGTGTAAGGCCATACCTGTATGTCAAAATGAATCAGTAACAGCAGGAGTATTGAAGTATTATTGCTCCCAAGAGAAAAGGGCGGGGGGGGAATAAACTTGTTTCAGCTTTTCCACGCTACAAAATTTCCAAACAACTTCTTTTGAAGTTCTATAGCAGCAATCATTTCACCTTAGGAACAAGCCACGACATGGCATTTTTTTTGTTCCTGTGACTGAGTCTGAGTAGGAGACAGGAGATCATTTATTTGCTCAGGTGAAACAATGAATTGGCAACTAGGGAAGAGGAGGAAAACTTTTGCTGTTACGCTAAAATTCAGAGGTTTGTGCAGAATAGAATTTATGGTGTAGCCCTGTTTAGTTTTCTCATCTTTTGTGAGGCATTTCCTGATCTTTAGGTTGTTTGTATACTGAACACTAGACAACAATCTGAAGGGCTTAACTGGAATGTTAGTATTGCTTTTGAACTGAAAACCAAGAGCTTTAGAATGTTTGAAGTTACAGTAGATGAATGTCCCACTTCTTAATAGTGGATTTGCCAGTAGATGGCATTCTCTAGTTTTCAGAGCTGCTGAAGTACCTGCAGATACTAGGTTTCACATGACCACTTTTCAGATGAACTCTGGAAGTGGCATTGGAAATCTTCTTAGTAAGAAGAAAACACGAGAATAAAGACTAACTGTCGAAAGAAAACAAGCTTCTTGCAAGATTTGCGAGCACACACTGTGCTGTATTGTGTTTTTCTGAAACACAAACAGGAATTTGTATACAAACAATCCGTGTCTGTTTTCTTCTCGCACCCCAGAGTTTTTGGAAGTCCAACTGAAGGGAGAGATTTCAGTTTGAAAGCATGATGATGCTTAAATTTAAGGAGAGACATGCTTCATGCTCTGCTTCTCCTTTGCTGTGCAGCATAAAAGATGGTGTTGAGATAACAGTTTGTATCCATAGTAGTTCTTCTGGGTTTCTGTGGGCTTTTATTGGCAAACAAACAGTTCCATATTCCTTTTAGCCCCAGATGACCAAGAGTTGTAGTTTTGTGCTCCCAAGTGCCCAGATATTACCAGTAATCAACTTCTACAAAAATAAGTATGCAACCTTAGGAAACCTCTCAATAGGGTATTTATTTTTTTCATAATTGGAGTAGGCAAAAATATATATTTCTTACTGGAAGTACATATTAGATCTGTACTTTTTTTGCAGACATATGTGCCAATTCAGAAAATACGCACCTTAAAAATAAATAAATAAAATGTGCAGTCTGGGCTGCACAGGATGGAGCAAGGAGGAAGGAAGACTTGGGTCCTCTATCAGGAGAGGATGGAAGAAAAAGGTTTGCTTTCAGCTGTGGGAGAGCATAAGGAAGAAAAGAAAATTGCTGTTTATCTCTTGCATCTGTGACTAAAACCTGTGATATTTCTGGAGTGGACTGTTAAGAAATAGTTTGAGGAGTAGAGATTGTAACTGGGAACACATGGAGCAGCTAAGTCATGCCTGAACCAGTATAGAATAGCTTTAATTTAAAACATTAAATACTCCCACATAGTGAAACACAGGGATTGGATGTGCTTAGCTCTCTCATCTTCTCTGAAAATCTTTACACTTCCTCAATAGAGTATAGGTCTCCCCTCTGAGAGCTATAATACTTAAAACACGAGAGATTCAAAAAATACTGGTTAGGATTAAGTTTAAAAACAATCCCAAAGCAACATCTGGGATTGGAACCTATTGGAGATTTTTATAGATTCTGAAAATACATCAGTGTGTCTTATAATTTCTAATGCTGGGTGAATACAGTACTGTTATTACTCCAAGCCACAGTCATCAAAAATTACATCTCGTGGAATTTTATCATTATAAACAGTGATAGTGCTTTGAAATGATCTAGCAAGTCTTTGAGTTAATGTGAAGCAAAACATGACATCATGAACAGTGCTAGTTGTTAATAGCTAGATAGGATCTGTGAATGCTTTTCCTATAGTATATCGATCAAGAAGAAACATAAAGTTACTGTTTAGAACAGTATTTTTGTTCCTGCTATGAATTTGAATTTAAGAACATTTCGTTTTTCTTTTTTTAAAAAGGCATTCTAGACATATCTCTCCATTCAGAGGTGAGAATAATGCAAAGCTGTTCTGTCACTGCCTTATCTGCTGTGGAGGTTTGAAGCTTAAAAGGAGACTTGCAAAAAAAAGAAAGCAAGTTATGTGACAGATGTTTACAAGTAGCTTTTCAAAAGCCAAGCCTGGCTGTTGACCCAGCCTGGTTCTTGGTCTGTTTAGGGTCACTTTGATCTGTGTTGGACACCCAGGCCTGCTTGATTCATTCAGGCTAAGAGAATGGTAAAAATGGTGTAAAGTTGTATGCGTATTTCTTCCTTACTGTGAAAATAATGGCATATGGCCTTGTAAATTTTATCTTAATGCTCTTTGGAAAAATAATAAAAATTGCCTTGATGTTGAAGGACTTCCCAGTTGTTTGTATGTGTCTTGGTATGGCTCCAGAATGAAACATTCACCCTGTATCTAGCGAAAACTGTTTATGGTAGAGGTTTGTTGAGGCTTCATTTTTATCATGAGCCTTTTCCCTAAAATGTAACTTTCAGAATACTCTCCAAATAACTCTCATATCAAATCTACAACTCACGGCCGTGCTAACTGCTTTTAGCATGGTGTAAAAGGAGGTATTTGATCTTACATGATTTTTGCTTTCATGAGCTTTGAGTTCAGTTAATTCAGTTAAGAAGAGATACCTAAGTTTTTTTTTTCCCTTGCTATTTTTCAACGATTCAAATGTGTACTTTCAAAAAGCTATTTTAATAACTAAGAAAGCTATTTTTAGATATACAAATCAACCTTTGTTGCACATTTTGAAACTGGAAAATAGGTGTGCAACAATACTGTTGTTGATCATTCCCCATAAGAACACTTAGAATACTTTTTTTTTTCTGTAATATTTCAGGATGGTGGTGTTCTGTGATCATTAGGTATGTCTTTAAATGATGACCTGTCAAAACTCACATGCTTTGAAGCTTGCAAGAACCTATGTTATGAGCAGGCTTATGATTAGTGTGTAATGTAAGTACACTGTACCTAGTCTTGAAACAATTTGTACTCTATATTGTAATGATACTTTGAGTATTGGAAGTATTGAGTATCATACTTTGAGTATTGGAATCAATTATGTATGGTATACAGTAGAGACAAGCAATTGAGGGAACTTTAAACTGAATTTAGTACCGTTAGTGAACTTGATTCTTGGACTATGCAGAACAAAGCTTACTGGATTAACTTTGTACGACAGGAGAATATTTTCTGGGCTGATTTGTAAAAGGCATTCTAAATGCAACTTAAGGGTCTTAGGCATATGAACATTTAAAAAAAAAAAAGACTAATCTGAAATTTATGTCTGGGTTTCTCATGTAGACAGAGGGATCTAAAGACCTTTTATTTTGAATGAAACTTGTTACTGTGTCACTCTTTTCTCCTCCCTTACAAAGAAAAGTTTAGGTTTTAGTTTGTTATTTTTATACTACTTTTATAATACTTTTATCTTTCAAAAACTTATTTTCCTTGTGTTCTAAAAATTCAGCATAGAGAAAACAATCAATTCCAATGTTTCCCATATGGAGGAGGTGAAGATTTTGTTTGGGATTGTTTGTTTTGTTTTGTTTCAATTATATTAGGAGAGTTTTGAATGACACAAAGATACTGTGGTGTGCCTGAGAATAGCTGTATTGGGTAATAGCCGTTTTTTCCTGGCTTATGAAATACACTTTTTAAATTCCTCATAGTACAAATTCTTGTTAACTGATTTTAATTATATACTTAGAAAAAAAAATTCTCCACGAAGAATTGGTGGTATATCAAGTCCTTCCAGTGCCTTGCCCTTGCTATTCTTATGTATTCGCTTCCAGCAGCATTCTTGGTGAGGTCTTAGCTGGTGCTCAAGAGGCATGATTCATGTAGCTGGAGTCTGAGCTAAGTGGCAAAGAGCTGATGTAGAGCTAGATTTTCTATCTACACATAAGAAATAATATGGAGATGTGATTATCAAGGGTAGTCTTGGTTGTGGTGGCCATGACATAATGCAGTGAAGATCATGTTCCTGAAGGCTGAACAAGGAACAAGGAAAGTGTGGGCCTGCTGCTGAACAGGGCAGGTGAGCTGGTGCTAGTGAACAAAGGCAAGGCCAAGTGTTGCCTCAGCTCCAGACTTCATGGCAAGGTCTCCCCAGCCTCTGTTCTCAAGAAGTAGAACTACCAGTGGCAGATGAGAGTTGAGTTAGGGAGTGATTTTTGACTTCTAATGAAAGTCCGAATCAAAAAACAAATCCCAAGCTAACCTTTACTTGACAGCTGTTAGACTCTTTTGTGTGTAAATGATACTGACAGATAACATCATAAGGAAGGGAACTTGGAGTTAAAGCCTAAGAGAACCCAGCATGTCAGGTTGCCCACCTCTGTGCGGTATCTCTGTGGCTTGCAGTATTTTCTTCTTTGATTGAGGATGGGCATCTGGAAGGATTTGAGTTTTTTTCAAGAGGGTAGGAGTTGTTTGTGTGTTTGTCTTTTTGGTTGAGCTTTGTTTCTTTTCAGTGGGAGAATTCCTTATCAGACAAAAGGATATCGTTTTCTCTGGAAAAAAAGCTAGTCATAAAATGGCA